CCCCAAGTGGGTTTACGCATCTTTCCTTTAATTGATAGATGATATTAAAGTAATACTTCACCCTAAAATGAAAATTTGCTGAAAATGAACTCACCTTCCAAGGCCTTTCAAGATGTTAGATGAGTTTGTTTTTTAATCAGAACAGATTTGTAGTAATGTAGCACTGCATCAGTGTCTCAGCAATGGATGCTCTGCAGTGAATGGGTGCCGTCAGAATGAGAGTCCAAACAGCTGATAAAAACATCACAACAATCCACAAGTAATCCACAACACTCCATCTTGTGAAGCAAAAAGATCCATGTTTTTAAGAAACAAATCCATTAAGTCATTTTTTAATTTCAAACTGCCACTTCTGGCCAAAATATGAGTCCATAATCCATAATATTTTTCCTCCAGTGAAAAAGTCCATCTCCTTTTGTTGTCTCACATTAAAATCCAACCGCACTTACATGGCTTGTAAATGGTGCTTGATCTCTACATATTTCTCTCATGATTCGGACAAGCTGACTTTTTCACTGCAGTAAGTAATAGTAGAGGAAGCAACGGATTGAAGTTAAAAATGTCTTAAAGGTGGATCTGTGTCTTACAAACACGCAGCTTTTGGCTTCACAAGCCGTTAACTGATGGACTGGAGTGGTGTGGATTACTTGTGGATTATTGTGATATTTTTATCAGCTGTTTGGACTCTCATTCTGACGGCACCCATTCACTGCAGAGGATCCATTGTAATGGAATGCTACATTTCCCCAAATCTGACGAGTAAACTAATTCATCTACATTTTGGATGGCCTGAGGATGAGTGTATTTTCAGCAAATGTTAATTTTTGGGTGAACTGTACTTGTAATGATAAAAAGAAACCCTTGCCATTTCATAGACGGCACAAAACATCTTTAAAATGAGCGGAAATGTTCAGTAGCTACCTTTTTCCAGTTCGTGACACTCTTTCAGCAAGCATCAACTAATCTTCAGTAGTGGATGCATTACTGTTCAGAAATATACACTAAAAAGGTGCATTAATGAGCAGCCAGAAGAAGGAGTCACATTAGCCAATATGAAAACGTACAAAATGTGAATACTTTCAAAAACTATTTTGCAGATCGTTCTTTTTTTTCAAAGCAAGGCCAGAAAAAATAAACCCTGTTTAAAAAAATCATGTTTAGTCAGCATAACACTTTTTAAAAGAACATGAATTTAACACTGTTTGATAAACTACAACAGCAAAGCATGAGGCATCCCATATGATTATTGTTTTTTGTTTTTGTTTTTTTGGAAGTGTCTTCTTTCCTCAGTATTCCTTTGTTGTATATAGGAACGTTCTGAGATGCTAGACTTGAATGCCTTGTACCGCTTGTTTTATATTTTCTAGCAGGGCCTTGTTCTCTGGACTCTGATAGTGATCTTGATTCGTGTACATGTCCGTTAGCGTGGTCACGTATGCGTCAAAGTTCTGTTCGCTCATCGGCTCCTGTCAAACACAGAGGAAAGCTCCTGTCAGATGAAATACAGTATGTGGAAGATGATGACAAAACATGAATCTGGGTTATACACCTCTGAGAATTAAGTCTTTAATTATAATACAGTTCTTGGATTATTGCTATTCCTGTATACAATTCACAGGATGCATAATTGTATAAATACATTTTAATGCAGTTTACTGTCTGTGTAATTGGCCAAAAACATATGGGCTATTTGCAGAAACATTCAATGATAATAATCAAGTCTGTTTTCATAGTTCATGCTATTTTAAAGCAGCATTATGGAAAAATCTTGCTGTAAATATTACAATTAACATTATTAATTTGTAACCCCCAACTTCAGTTCCGAGAATTATTTATTTATTTATTTATTATGAAGGGATCTGAGAACAATGTGGTGGACATTGTTTTTGCTACTATAGGCAAAATAAAACTTAGTTTTAGGATTTATTATCATAAAACGGCTCATAATGTGTATCAGGGAAAACATAATAATAGCATAATTGGTCAAAACTATGATGTAAATGTTTTTGTCACAAAACCTTTATGTGACTGTGATTTACGGCTCATAATGTGTATCAGGGAAAACATAATAATAGCATAATTTGTCAAAACTATGATGTAAATGTTTTTGTCACAAAACCTTTATGTGACTGTGATTTCAAATGCACAATTTTCATTTCATTCATTGCAATTCAACATCTGGTGTGTGAATTTAATTCAATTCACACTGACAGTTGTGAACTGAAAGGAAGCCAATTCTTAAATTATGAATTTTGCAAACCCTGATGTGAATTCTTCAAAAAACTTGTTGCAGCCACAATAAAACTTTTGAATTAAAAGAAATACAATGTGCAAACATAAAACATCTGTTGTAAACATCATTTATTCGGTCAATTCAGACTAAATGGAAATGGCTGGATTTGGTAGCATTCATTAATGGGGAAAAAATATGTGAAGGACTAAAGCTGACTGAATGGTTATTAAAAATTGATTCAGTGAAAAGTCAGCATTAAGCATGAACAACAAAATCTATTCAGGTGGACATGAATGAATGTAAGAATAAATCAATAATGACTTTTAGAATGACTAACACCAACGGCGCTCAGCCATTTAAAATTGACTGATATAAACGACATAGTATTCACAACATACAAATATTCATATGTATGAAAAGGGTAAGAGTTAAACTGTGGCCTTACTCTCTGATGTAAACAGCTGCTATGTCTACCTGGAGGCTCTTTGTGAAGTGATTTCTAGAGGTAAAAACAAAAAGTGTATTAGCTTACAGCAAATATCATGCTCAATACATTCAAGACCTGGCCACTTCTGTCTTAACACCCAATCTAAGAACACATCTGGAAAAACGTCTCCAGGTTACGTATGTAACCATGGTTCCCCGAAGGGAACGAGACGCTGCGTCGAAACGCTACGGGAACGCCTCCAGCGTGACCACGCTCTGAATCACATGTGTAAGCAGTCCAATGGATGGGCGAAACATTCCCTCCACCGGATCCATATGCGAACCCCACGAGCACAGCCGCCGCTCCGCCTCGGCGAAAGCGGGGCCGGCGCCGCGAGAAACGCCGGTGAAGACTCCCTCCTCAAAGAGAGCCCTCGGAGAGCAAGCATACGCAGTGACAAATGCTCGAGAGCTGACTCTGCATATTTTGCTCCCAATCAGACAACACACAAACTGTGTGTATCCCCACCCGAAATGTAGCGCGGGCAGGGAAGAACACACAGACTGAGATGCTGCCGGCTCTCGCCGTATGTTTGTCTACACTCATATTGGTAAAATAAAAAGTGATAATGGACAGACAACACCAAATAAGACTGACACACACAGAGCGCTTGCTGAATGACAGAAAGCTGACGCCGGTTTCACCGCACGTGCTTTTATGCTTCCTGGTCGCTACGTCACCCCCGCCCGTGACGTCTCGCCCATCCAGCGGACTGATTACACATGTGATTCAGAGCGTGGTCACGCTGGAGGCGTTCCCGTAGCGTTTCGACGCAGCTCGAGTTCCTGAACGGGAACTGTTTTTGTTTGTTTTGTTTTGTTTGCAGATTTTGCAAAGATATTGACAATGAATAATGTGATGTAATGTGATGCTATATGATGATATCAGCTAGTTAATGCAGCTATTAGCTGGTTTTGCATTGACATTTTGTATGTAAAAGGGATAAGCCGCTGATTATTCTTATTTGATAAAAGTGGCACAAGTTCAGTGAATTCACCCTTGAATACTACAAAAATCGTTAATAAAATTTAAAATATTATTTACAATTAAATGAAAATGTATAGATTCAATTTAAATTAAATGCTGTGACCTGAACGTAAACATGCTTTTTGGCCCACTCAAGTAGGACTTAAGTTAATCTTTTATGTAATTTCATAATCATTTCTATTGTCTTTTACAATGTAGTACATATCAAACATATTAACTTTAATTAGCAAACTACAGTTAAAATTCTAATCAAGTACTTGTGCTTTAGTATGTTAGTTAAAATACGTGTATTTCTTTAAATCATGACAAAAGTGTACTTAGTCATATAAAGTACATAACTTTCAATTTGACAATTACAAAATGTACTTAAGTGTGAATTATAGTCATGAAAGTGTCTCTCTTTAAGTGCATTTAAGTGGCCTTTTATTTCATTAATATATTACCTGCAAGAACAGTGTTTTTTTTAAATGTACTTTTAAGATCTAAAGTACACTACAAGTGCACATTCAATACAATTAAGTACACTTCTTTTTCACAAGGGATTGATTTAGGTGTGAAAATGCGACTTCTTTAAGTTCAGCAGTAAACTTTTCAAATGAAGTGGAAGTCGAAAATAAAAAAGAGAAAAAGTCACTGTAAAATCGATGCGTTTCAGAAAGGCGGGGCATAGAGGAGAAACAATAATGTACAGTATGTGGAAAATAATGTGTTTTTTGAACCTTAAACTGCATAAACACATTTCATTACACCAAATACACCAAATAATGTTCTTTTTAGCAGCATCATATGACCCCTTTAAGAAACAGCCAATCAGCATTGTCAAAAAAACTGAACACAAAATGAGTGAGCCATGTCAGCTTAAAACCCTATAAACAGTAATCAACAAGTATGAATAATGAAATAGACATAATGAGCCACAGCAACTCAAATATTAACAAACTCAGTAGAATTGATTGTATATCAGTTTGACAAAATATGACAATCAGTGAACAAGCTATGGAGATTCAAATACGATTATGACTGAAATGTTTGATAACACTTTATTTTAAGGTGTCCTTGTTACACATGTTACATGTACTTACTATTATAATAACAATTAATTATGCATTATTACATGCAAGTACCCCTAAGCCAAACCCTAATCCTAACCCTATGTAGTTAATTAATATTACTCAGTACTTAAGTATATAATTACACTGTAACAAGGACACCTTAAAATAAAGTGTAACCAAATATTTCTTTACCAAGTTGAGATGAGACGAATGAAACTTCTAATCAGAATGTCTACGCTTCTAAATCTTTGGGACTGATCTGAAGAACATGTTTTCAAGCTAACTCGTTGCTGGGTAAACCATCTTAAGATAAATTATTAAGATAAAACCAGCCTGACCGGGAGATCAGCTAAGACCAGCAAACCAACTTAGGCTGGTTTATGCAGTTTTTTTTTTAAGCAGAGCTGGTAACATTTAACAACCAAGTATTAAATTGACTCCTACAATTTTCCACCTATGGACTAGTTTGAAGCACAGACTATTATGCTAAATTTGCTGAATGTACCAAGAACTGCGGCCTAAAGCCCAATAAAGTTACTTTTTAATTTTTCTAAATGAACAGAATTAAGTAATATGCTCTTTGTCCACGACTTGTCCTCTATCGGTTGGGGATGGTGGCCCTTACCATATGAGGTAGCTGGATATTAGCTAAACTGTTTATCAGTGAATGGTTGAGGCTGGCCAGCTCATGCAGGAGAGATTCATTTTGTTGTTCAATCACCTTGTTTTCTTCCTCTAAGGACTTCAGATTAGACTCCATTGTGGTAATCTGTGGGACATGAATCGGCAGATGTGTTAAATCTATTGTGATAACGTCTTCATAGCATAACACCATAAATTATGATCTTGTTTGTTTGAACTAAGACTACAGTAATTGTGGGCTTGAAATGTTTGAAATTAAATGTTTTAGTAAATGATTAACGGGATGAAATGTCTGACTCAGTTCACTTTCACACAAATGCTGCATTTATACCGTAAGACGTAATGTACTGTTTTTTTTTTTTCATGATATGTAAACTAGCGTTCAAAAGTTTGTGGTCAGTAATGTTTTTTTAAAAGAAGACTCCTAATTCTGCATCTATTTGATGAAAAAAATACAGTAAAACAGTAATATTATGAAATATTATTACAATTTAAGATAACTGTTTTCAATGTGAATATATTTATTCATGTGATGGAATTTTCAGCATCATTACTCCAGTCTTCAGTGTCACATGATCCTTCAGAAATCATTCTAATATGCTGATTTGCTGCTCAAGAAACATTTCTGATTATTATCAGTGTTGAAAACAGTCGTGCTGCCGAATATTTTTGTGAAAACCATGATACAGTTTAAATTTAAAATTTTAAAGATTATTTGCTAAATAGAAATTTCACATCAACGGCATTTATTTCAAATAGAAATCTTTTGTAACATTATAAATGTCCTTATTGTCACTTTTGATCAATTTAACACATCCTTGATGAATGCAAGTATTCATTTCCTTTAAATAAAGGTGTTACAATAGTAACATTTTAGATAAAAGTGAAATTTGACAATTCTACCACAGGCAGTTTATCAAAGTTGACTTTAATGACACTGACATCTTAGACAATTTAGCATTCGATGTGCATTCAAATAATTTACATGTCTGCTACAATAACATAAAGTCTTAAATTATCTTCATTTTGAGCTTTTCTCAGCAAATTATGGCATGTGATTATTTGTGATTAATTTGATTATTTAATCAGCATAACAGTGAAATTAATGACATTTTTAACAATGCTCATCTCTAATTAACACCTTGGCAAGATGGGCATTTTGAACAGGAAGTGCATTTGACAGCAGCATTATTGTACCACTGAATGCTCATTATACATGTTGTCATAGATACAGTCATACACATCTCTGTTGTACTTGAATAGTGGAATAGTATCACCCTACAGCAGTGGTCGCCAAATTTGAAGTACAATCTGGGATGTCTTTTTATATCAATTCTTCAATAGGTGGTAGATCTTGTCTTTCATAAAGGACAAGGTCAGGGATCTTGGGCCTAAAAAGGTTGGTGACCACTGCGCTACAGATATATTAAATCATTTTTTTTTCAACTGTCTGCCCTCCTTGATTTCTGTAGGAATTCTCCTGCATTCACTAACTTCTCCTGAGAGCCAAGTCGTGATTTCAGACCAGACATATTCTATATGTCAAACAGCAGTGACCAAAAATACAAATGAAGAGAAGATTTGGATACAAGAGTTTAAATGCAAGTCAGAACTCCATATATATAACTAGATGACAATGTATATGTGGCCATATGAGTATGATTCAAGTAAAAAAAATTTTCCAAATCATGGTCCATGCACTTGAGTAAATGAGAAATGTTTATACACTACTAGTCCAATGTTTGGAATAATTATGATTTTTTATTTTTTTTTGAAAGACACCTTTTCTGCTCACAAACGCTGCATTTATGTGATCAAATTACACAGTAAAAATAGCAATATTGTTATTTGAATATATTTTAAAATGTAATGTATTCCTGTGATCAAAGCTGAATTTTCAGCATCATTACTCCAGTCTTCAGTGTCACATGATCCTTCAGAAATCATTCTAATATTGTCACGCAGGGTTGAAGGAAGAACAGGAAGATGAAGATAACGTTTCAAAAGTCTTTTAGTAATCTGCTTGAAGTACTCCAAAGAGGCAGACAAACAAAGCACGACCTGTAACATAGACGTGAACGGACAACTGAGAACTGAAAAGACTGCAATTTAAATACAAAGCAAATGAGGGTATAATGGTTAATACCTGTGCAGGTCAAATTAATAACCATGACAACTGAATAGTGACGGGGAAAAATAAAACATAGGAACTAAAGAATACAAACTAAAAGTCCTTAAAACTGAATATATATGTGACAAATATGCTGGTTTGCTGCTCAATTATTATTGGTGTTCAAATATTGATTGATTGATACCAATGTAGGAAACCATTTTTGCTCTCTAATAATTTAATGAAAACCATGCAAAGTTTATTTTTTCAGTATTATCTGTTTAATAAAAACTTACCCCCACATTCTAAATAATAGTTTATGAACAACACTAGCATGAAACAGCTGAACTGTTTTCAACATAATAATCAGAAATGCAGCAAATCAGCATATCAGAATGATTTCTGAAGGATCATGTGACACTGAAGACTAGAGTAATGATGCTGAAAATTCAGCTTTGATCACAGGAATAAATTACAAATTTAAGACATTTTCAAATCGAAAAAAAGTTATTTAAAATTGAAATAAAATGTACAATATTACAGTTGTTATACAGTACATGCAGCCTTGGTGAGTAGAAGATACTTTTCAAAAACATTAAAAAACTGTAATAATTCCAAACATTGACTCAGTATAATGTACTCAGTCAATACTCATATATGGAGTACAAAGCTCATTCTATAAATACCCTCACCTGTGTTCTAAGTTTGATCATATCCGCCTCCACCTGTGAATTTGATTCATTTAAATCTTTAATATCTTCATCCAGCTGTTTAACATCTGTGTCACCGTCTAAACCTAGAGTGAGAACAGACAAACATAATTTATAGCAGAAAAATAATACATACCTGCACATAAAAACACCCTCTTGTTTGACTGCGTGCTTACAGTATATAAGTGTGCTCGCATAAACTCTCGGTTGCTTTTGATTTATTCCCAAGCATTAAAAACCATGATATGTATAATTGTTATCATTACAGACATGCAGAGACCATCATCATTTGTTTTGGTTTTGAGCTCTACAGTGTAATGTGAGACTTTAAACTTTTTTTTCCTTTTACCATTGCTTGTTGGCTGTTTTATTGTGAGCATCTCCACTCCTGATAGTCTGGCTTTCTTCATTGCTGCTGTGGCACGTGGGCAACCAGAGAGACTGTAAAAATAAGAGAGCATGAAATATGGATTATTAACACTTTTGTTCTCCAAAAAGAGACTGTGGGCAGCAAGTAAAAAAAGTCCCATATAGTACTATACATATACAAAGGTTTGGGATCAGTACGATTTTGTTTTTTAAATAAATTAATACGTTTTTCAGCAATAACACATTTAATTTTGACAGTAAAGACATTTAGAATGTTACAAAAGATTTCCATTTCAAATAAATGCTGTTCTATTGAACTTTCCATTCATCAAATATTCCTGAACAAAAATGCATTACAAAAACATTAAGCAGCAAAAACAGTTATTTTAAATTGTAATAATATTTCACAGTTTTACTGTATTTGTGAGCTAATAAATGCAGCGTTGATGAGCAGAAAATATGTCTTTCAAAAACATTAAAAACTCTTCCCGACCTCAAACCTTTGAAAAAATAGACATTGAGAATTTTCTGTATTTCCCAATAAACAAAAAATATTCTTTGCAGAAGTTGACAACTGTTTTAATCACTATACAGTATGTTGTGATTGATGCACCTGCTACAGCACTGACACAGCACCAGAGGGCGCTCTCACCTAAATACTGACTAGTGCTGTTTAGAATAGCATACTTCTCTTAGGTCTATCTGTAGTATGTATACTGCTCACTTGCACAGTATGCATTTTCTGTATGCATAGAATACCCAAACAGAAATAGTATAGTGCATATTATATGTTGTACACTATGAAGTATACTAAATAAAAATAGTATGCGCAGCAGCACAGTATGCAGTACACTAGTATTCAAGTCTCAACACAGCCCTGAACGCATTCGCTACCATCTGTTTATGATTTTCTGTCAGTGTATAAATAGCCTGGTCAATCTATCATGTGTGCAGATTCTGAACATTATGGTCTTGTTCTTGTTTGTTGTTGCCTTCACTCTAGTGTTTGGACTGCTGTGACTCTCTTTCATGCTAAGTTTTGTTTAGGGTGAGATGTTGCAAGATGTCCTCTGGCGCAGGATTTCCCTTTTTGAAATATATTATTTGTTGTTATTGTTGTTTGTTTTGTAATTTTGAGGTGTTCAGTTTTATTTTGGTTTTAGAAAATAAACGTAGAAAATGGCTCTCCTCACA